CTACTGACCTCAGATCTGGCTACTTTTGACCTCAGACCCGGTGACCTGTGACCTCAGACCTGTTGACCTTTAACCTCATAGCAGGTGACCTTTGACCTCAGACATGGTGACATTTATGAGATTCGCCTTTACTGTCAGGCTGGGTTGCAGGTAGGTTATGTTAGGTTAGGTTAGTTTAGATTAGGTTAGGTTAGGTTGGGTCAGCTTCTCGGAGATATTAGTTATAGTGCTCTCCTTCTCTCCGCTTACATTATGTCGTTTTATATATTTTTTCCCTCATTTTAAATTCGTGTTTTCAGCATTAATGTTATTACGTGAATTTGGATTTTTTTCTTCCAAGTTGAGAGAAAATGAATAATGGCGACGGAGACGGTGTGGTGGCAGGGCGTGACTTATCTCCCAGGCCCTCTCAAACACTGTTGAATTACTTTGTAGTTTTTGCTTTTATTTCTCTTCCCGGTGTTCTGGGTGATTTTTAAGATCTGGGATACGACAGAACTCTATTGTCTAGCTAAAGGTAACGAGGAGACATGATAGTAAGGAATAGTTGATTTTTGTGGTAAAAGTGAAAAGAAAATTTGTATTCATAACACCATGACTTATCTACCAAGACATTTTCGCCATTTTGTCTCAGAGTTAAGACATTCAGTAGTGTTTTAATATTAATATCGCATGAACACAGGTTGGTTTATAAGCTGAAATTATTTAATATTGCAGAAAAATATATTTGCCAGTGACCTGAAATATATTTACATTTTATATGAACATGGCTGAAATTAAACCTGTGAAGTCTACATAACAGTGGAGGTTGTAATTAATAAAAGCGGTGGTTTAGAGTGTGGTAACCTGACGCCGCCCTTACTACTACACTCCGCCGTCAGCAGAACTTTGCCTCCACCGCCGCCATATTACTCAGCCCTCGTCCGTACGCGCCCTTTTTGCTCCTAGAACCGTGCGCCGCCACGCCGCCCACCCCCGCCTGGGATATGGGGTGACTGTGGGCGTGGCTAAGGGTGCTCGTTTACCGCACTGTGGGGCTGTGGGCTGTGTTGGGCGTGGCCTATGTCGTGGGCATCGTGGCTGGACCAATCGCAGGCCGCTGTGTCTTCTTCCCTCCTGGTCGCCGCCGTGACGTCACTACTTAGGTTAGTTGTCATCTTTGATTGGTTCCACTCTGATTATCATGACGTCACTGATGAGAGAGAGAGAGTAGAGAGTAAAAGAGAGGAAGCTAATAAAGCCCTGTTGGCTGGTCTCCATCTTGTTATTCCGCTCTCTTTCCCTTGTTAAAATTTATTACTTCTTGGTTGGCTTCCATATTGTCTGTCTGTCTGTCGTAGCCATATTTGTGTGTCTTTGTATGTGTTTGTTTATTTGTTTCTTTGGGAGAGGCTGAGAGAGAGAGAAGCTAAGGAGAGGAAAGAGAGGCTGCGTCACACACACACAGGTGATTAATAATTACGTAACAGACCTTTATAAACCTGTTCTCTCAAGGTCATCCAGTACGTCTCTCTCTCTCTCTCTCTCTCTCTCTCTCTCTCTCTCTCTCTCTCTCTCATTAAGTGCTAACCTTGACTGCTGTATTGCTAGGTGACCACACCCTGAAGAAATAGGAATAACGACAAGGGAAAACATGTAGTATAAAACACACACACACACACACACAGACACACACACACACACACACACACACACACACACACACACACACACACACACACACACACACACACACACACACACACACACACACACACACACACACACACACACACACACACACACACACACACACACACACACACACACACACACACACACACACACACACACACACACACACACACACACACACACACACACACACACACACACACACACACAGTGCAACTCTTCACCCCCATCAGACATGATCCTGATTGCCTCTCGTCTGGTGCCACTCAGCTGACTCAGATAGTGCGAATCCAGTGCCACATAAGCCTAGTAGTGCCACACAGAGCCTGGTAGTGCCACATAGAGCCTAGTTGCCACATAGAGCCTAATAGTGCCACATAGACCTAGTAGTGCCAGTTAGTAACACATAGAGCCTGGTAGTGCCATAAGAGCCTAACAGTGCCATAGAGCCTAGTAGTGCCACATAGAGCCTAGTAGTGCCACATAGAGCCTAGTGGTGCCACATAGAGCCTAGTAGTGCCACATAGAGCCTAGTAGTGCCAGTTAGTAACACATAGAGCCTAGTAGTGCCATATAGAGGCCCTAGCAGTGCACATAGAGCCTAGTAATTATAGAGCCTAGTAGTGCCACATAGAGCTAGTAGTGCCACATAGAGCCTAGTAGTGCCAGTTAGTAACACAGAGCCTAGTAGTGCCATATAGAGCCTAGCAGTGCCACATAGAGCCTAGTAGTGCCACATAGAGCCTAGTAGTGCACATAGAGCCTAGTAGTGCCAGAGAGCTAATGTGCCACATAGAGCCTAATGGTGCACATAGAGCCTATTATCATAGAGCCTATGTGCCATAAACTAGTAGTGCCACATAGAGCCTAGTAGTGCACAAGAGCTAGTAGTGCCACATAAGGCTGGTAGTGCCACAGGAGAGCCTAGTAGGCCATGAGCTCATAGAGCTATGGTCACATAGAGCCTAGTATGCCACATAGAGCCTAGTAGTACATAGAGCCTAGTAGCCACATGTTTACACAGAGCCCAGTAGTGCCACATAGAGCCTAGTAGTGCCACATAGAGTGTGCCAATAGTGCCAAGGCCTAGTAGTGCCACATAGAGCCTAGTAGTGCCACATAGAGAGCTAGTAATGCCACATAGAGCCTAGTAGTGCCATAGAGCCTAGCAGTGCCATAGAGCCTAGTGTGCCACATAGAGCCTGTGGTGCCACATAGAGGCCTAGTAGTGCCATAGAGCCTAGTAGGCCACATAAGCCTAGTGGTGCCACATAGAGCCTAGTAGTGCCACACAGAGCCTAGTAGTGCCACATAGAGCCAGTAGTGCCTATAGAGCCTAGTAGTGCCACATAGAGCTATTAGTGCCACATAGAGCCTAGTAGTGCCACACAGAGCCCTAGTAGTGCACATAGAGCCTAGTAGTGCCACATAGAGCCTAGTAGTGCCACATAGAGCCTATTAGTGCGCATAGGCCTATAGTGCCATAGAGCCTAGAAATTGCCACAGAGCCTAGTAGTGCCCACATAGAGCCTAGTAGTGCCACTTTCATGAGCTAGTAGTGCCACATAGGAGCCTTGTGGTGCCACATAGGCCTAGTAGTGCCATGAGCAGTGCACATAGAGCCCTGAAGTAGTGCCACATAGAGCCTAGTAGTGCCACATAGAGCCTATTGGTGCCACATAGGCCTAGTAGTGCCACATAGAGCCTGATGGTGCCACATAGAGCCTAGTAGTGCCACATAGAGCACAGTGGGCCACATAGAGCCTAGTGGTGCCACATAGAGCCTAGTGGTGCCACATAGAGCCTAGTAGGCCTGGTGTGCCACATAGAGCTATTAGTGCCACATAGAGCCTAGTCGTGCCACATAGAGCTATTAGTGCCTGGAGCCTAGTAGTGCCAGTTAGCACCTCATAGGCCCTACTAGTGCCACACAGAGCCTATTGATTGACATAGAGCCTAGTAGTGCCAGTTAGTCTCATAGAGCTAGTCGTGCCACATAGAGCCTGTGGTGCCACATAGAGCCTGGTAGTGCCAGTTAGTACCTCATAGAGCCTACTAGTGCCACACAGAGCCTAGTCGTTACTATAGAGCCTATTAGTGCCACATAGAGCCTAGTAGTGCCAGTTAGTACCTCATAGAGAGCCTACTAGTGCCAGAGAGTGTCAGGTATGACTAGTAGAGCCATAACTAGCAGAATAGGAGCCATTAATAGCATATGTTTTGAGAATTCGGGTCGGTCGTTTATTAAGGATGGCGGTGTGGGGTGAAGCCTCCTGATTACGTTCACGAGCCACGTTCACGAGCCACGCCCATAAAATCACGTCTATAAACCACGTCCTCTAAGCCACCCACAAGCCCCATCCACCCGGAGGACTTGTTAATGTGAACCAGTGTGATTGTGTGTATGTGTGGGCGTGATATACTGGATATGGGCGTGATATACTGTGCGTGGGCGTGATATACTGTGCGTGGGCGTGATATACTGGTGCGTGGGCGTGATATACTGTGCGTGGGCGTGATATACTGTGCGTGGGCGTGATATACTGGTGCGTGGGCGTGATATACTGTGCGTGGGCGTGATATACTGGTGCGTGGGTGTGATATACTAGTGCGTGGGCGTGATATACTATGTATAATTCAGGCAAATTATCTCATTCCTAAATATTATGCAAATGGCTTATAATTCCTTGTTATCTCACGTAATTACTATATGAGTGTAAATTGGAAGGGGTAATTAGCGAGTTATTACCTGTGTGTGTGTGTGTGTGTGTGTGTGTGTGTGTGTCGACCCTGTGCCCCAAAAAAACACCACTGACACATACCTCACACAAACACACTGACAAACAAACAAACAAACACCTTTTTTTTACCTGGACAGAATGATAAATAAAATGATATGATAGAATGATTGGCAGCGCAGTAATTCACATACCTTTCATGAATTGATTGTGGGGTAAATTACGTCTTCTCAGGTGTGTGTAGTACTGTCAGGTGAGTGAGTTCCTCCTCTGTTAATAAGTTTTTACCTGTTTCGTGATGTTTTGTGGGTCTACAGGTGATTAATTTGTCTACAGGTGTTGATTAATGAGGTAATTATGTGTATGGTAAATTAATTAGGTATCTACAGGTGTTCTCTTCCTCCATCATCTCTATCTATCGCTACCTACCTCTATCCAACTCCACCCACAACCTATAACCTCCACCTACCTCCACCCACAACCTCCACCCACAACCTCCACCACCCACAACCCATAGCTTCCACCCCACAACCTCCACCCACCTCCACCCACAACCCAATAACACTACTTCACTCCACCCAGAGATCACTAGGGCTTCACCTTTTGCGAAACCCTGTTGAAATATATCAGGGTTTCAGTGCAGAATCTAAGCAGTACCGTGGGACACATGGGGATACATTGGAACACCGTGGGACACCTTGAGACACCGTGGGACACATGGGGATACATTGGAACACCGTGGGACACATTGGAACACCGTGGGACACATTGAGACACCTTGAGACACCGTGGGACAATGGGGATACATTGGAACACCGTGGGACACATTGGAACACCGTGGGACACATTGGAACACCGTGGGACACCTTGAGACACCGTGGGACACATGGGGATATGTTGGAACACCGTGGGACACATTGAGACACCGTGGGACACATGGGGATACATTGGAACACCGTGGGACACATTGAGACACCGTGGGACACATGGGGATACATTGGAACACCGTGGGACACCTTGAGACACCGTGGGCACATGGGGATACATTGGAACACCGTGGGACACCTTGAGACGTGGGACACATGGGGATACATTGGAACACCGTGGGACACCTTGAGACACCGTGGGACACATGGGATACATTGGAACACCGTGGGACACATTGAGACACCGTGGGACACATGGGGATACATTGGAACACCGTGGGACACATTGAGACACCGTGGGACACATGGGATACATTGGAACACCGTGGGACACATTGAGACACCGTGGGACACATGGGGATACATTGGAACACCGTGGGACACCTTGAGACACCGTGGGACACATGGGGATACATTGGAACACCGTGGGACCATTGGAACACCATGGGACACATTGGAACACCGTGGGACACATTGAGACACCGTGGGACGTGTGGCTCTCAGCTCGGTGTCTTACTGTCAACACTACTACACGTTGCTAACCGCCTGGAAACACCCCGAGATTTTTTTCCTTTCTCCAGTTCCTCGAAGGATCTTACGAGGAATGTTTTTGGTTCGTAAATAAAATGTGTTTTTCTCTCTCTTCCTTCCCTCTCATTCCCTCACTTACTCTCCTTGCCTTTCCTCCCTCTCCTGCCTCTCACCCCTCTCCTGGCCTCTCACTACCTCTTCCTGTTTCTCATTCCATTTCCTGCCTCTCACTTCCTTTCCTTCCTCTCACCCCTTTCCTGCCTCTCCTCCTTTCTCTGCCTCCTCTCACTTCCTCTCCAGGCCTCTTCTCCTTCTCTCGACCTCTCACTCCCTCCTCGGCCTCTCCTCCCTCTCTCGTGTAAGTGGGGTGAGTGTATCTCGTGGCGTGCAGTTTCTGTTTAATTCCGTTTTTATATGAAGTGTTTGAATATTAAACCCTTTGAGAATCCACCTTTTTTCGTAACACAGACCAGCACGTTATTTGTTCTTCTAATTCGACTTACGATCATGTGAGAATCTTAGGTCTTAGTTTATGATAGAAAAAATCCGACTTACGATCGTAAGAAATCTTAGGTCTTAGTTTATGATAGAAAATTCGACTTACGATCATGTGAGAATCTTAGGTCTTAGTTTATGATAGAATATTCGACTTACGATCATGTGAGAATCTTAGGTCTTAGCTTATGATAGAAAAATCCGACTTACGATCATGTGAGAATCTTAGGTCTTAGTTTATGATAGAAAATTCGACTTACGATCATGTGAGAATCTTAGGTCTTAATTTATGATAGAAAAATTCGACTTACGATCATGTGAGAATCTTAGGTCTTAATTTATGATAGAAAATTCGACTTACGATCATGTGAGAATCTTAGGTCTTAGTTTATGATAGAAAATTCGACTTACGATCATGTGAGAATCTTAGGTCTTAGTTTATGAAAAATTCGACTTACGAACTTTTGTGGCAAGGAAGGTAGTTTGTCGTTATGTGAGTGTTCCTATGTATGTAACTTAATACGTGGGGGGGGAGAGGAAGAGGAGGGAGTTATTAATCTTAGTAGATAATATTGAAGGTTTCCTCCTCTTGCCCCTCCTCTCCTCCCTCCTCCAGTCCTTCTCCTCTCTCCCTCTCTCTTACAGGCTCTCCTTCCTCACAACTCATTCCCTAGACACCTCCTCTCTATTCCCTCTATCCTCCCTCCTCCTACCTTCCTCCTTTCCCTCCTCCACTCACTCCACCCCTCCTCCCTTCCTCCACCAATTCATCTACCCCTCCACTCCCTTCCCTCCACCAATTCATCCACCCCACCTCACCTCCACCAATCATTGCGTTATTTTTACCAATATTTTATCGGAAAATTGTCGAGAGAGACGAGGAAAATTAGAGACAGAAAGCAAAGTGAAGGGGGACGGAAGAGAATTACAAAGAGAGAGACTGACCTCGATAACCTTTCTTGTATAACGGGTCGCAGCTCCAACTTGCCTCATTGGGGGTTGAAGTATTGACCTGTGAGGTCAACCTGGCTCTCTCTCTCTCTCTCTCTCTCTCTCTCTCTCTCTCTCTCTCTCTCATATCCCTTCCTTCACAGATGAAAGCCACGAGGTTACGAACGACGGATCTGCATAATACATAATGAGAGTAGAGAGAGAGAAAGAAGAGAGAGAGAAGAGAGAGAGAGAGAGAAAAAAAGTGAGATAGAGCAAAAGTGAGAAGAGGAGAAGGAGAAGTATTATTCACCTCTCTCTCTCTCTCTCTCTCTCTCTCTCTCTCTCTCTCTCTCTCTCTCTCTCTCTCTCTCACACAGCTGGGTCTTACAAAACAGCTGATCCACATGGACACACCCACGTGACTTCAGGTCCTCAGGAATCCCCAGCCCGCCTAGCCAGCTGAGTCCTTTGGGTGGGACCAGAAGGGCGTGTTCCTCCTGCCCTGACCACCCTCACGCTCGCCCTTGCTGCCTCCACACTCGTCGTACCGACCTCCACACTCGTCCCTGGCTGGCCTCCAGGTCATGACCCCCACTGCCCTGTCCTTCCCCTGACCACCTACTCCTCCCCCTGACCACCTCCTCCCCCTGACCACCCCTACTCCCCCCTGACCACCTACACCTCCCCTGACCTACTCCTCCCCTGACCTCTCCCTCCCCTGACCACCTACTCCTCCCCTGACCACCTACTCCTCCCAGCCCTCTCCTCCCCGTCGACCACCTCCTCCCCTGACCACCTCTCCTCCCCTGACCACCTACTCCTCCCCAGACCACGAACTCCTCCCCGACCACCTACTCCTCCCCTGACCATGGCCAATTAATCCTCCCCTTTTCTACTTCTCCCTCCCTCCTTCCCTCCTTTCATCCTCTCTTCTACTTCCTCCCCTTTTTCCTCCTTCCTTCCCTCCTCCTTCCTTTCTCCCTCCTTCCCTTATCCCTTGCAAACAACACTCAACGACTCTTACTTATCCTTCCCTCCTCTTCTTCTTTCTCCTCCTTCTCCTCTCCTCCTCTTCTTCCTCCTCCACCTTCTCCTCTCCTCCTCTTCTTCCTCCTCCTCCTTCTCCTCTCCTCCTCTTCTTCCTCCTCCTCCTTCTCCTCTCCTCCTCTTCTCCCTCCTCCTCCTCTCCTCTCCCTCCTCTTCTTCCTCCTCCCCTCCTCCTCTCCTCCCTCCCCTCCCTCCTCCTCCTTCTCCCTCTCCTCCTCTTCTTCCTCCTCCCTCCTTCTCCCTCTCCCTCCTCTTCTCCCTCTCCTCCTCCTCCTCTCCCTCCTCTTCTTCCTCCTCCTCCCTCTCTCCTCCTCTTCTTCCTCCTCCTCCTTCTCCCTCTCTCTTCTTCCCTCTCCTCCTTCTCCTCTCCTCCTCTTCTTCCTCCTCTCCTTCTCTCTCCTCCTCTCCTCTCTCCTCTTCTCTCCTCTCTCTCCTCCTCTCTCTCCTCTCCCTCTTCCTCCTCCTTCTCCTCCCCTTCTCCTCCTCCTCTCCTCTCCTCCTCTTCTCCCCTCCTCTCTCCTCTCTTCTCCCTCCTCCTCCTTCTCCTCTCTCCTCTTCTTCCTTCTCCTCCTTCTCCTCTTCTCCCTCCTCTCTCCTCCCTCTTCTCCCTCCTCCTCCTCTCCTCTCCTCCCCTCCTCCCTCCTCCTCCTCCCTCCTCTTCTCCCTCCTCCCTCCCTCCCCTCCTTCCCTCCTCCCCTCCCTCTCCTCCTCCTCCTCCTCCTCCTCCTCTCCTCCTTCTCCTCCTCCTCCTCCTTTCCTCCTCCTCCTCCCTCTCCCTCTCTCCTCCTCTTCTCCCTCCTCCCTCTCTCCCTTAATTTTCTCTCTCCTCCTCCCTCCTCTCCTCCTCTTCTCCCTTCTCTCTCCTCTTCTCCCTCTTCTCCCTCCCCTCTCCTCCTCTTCTCCCTCCTCCTCTCCTCCTTAATTTTCTCTCTCAGGACACACAAACTTGCTCTTCCATTTTCGTGACAAATTACTTTGTTGTCGTTGTCGTCGTTGTTGTTTTTTTTGTCATTGTTTGTTGTTGTTGTTGTCTTTGTTATTATTATTGGTGTTTTTTTTATTATCATTGATGTTGTTGTTGTTGTTGTTGTTGGTACGTGATGTATGTATGGGTGGTGTGTGTGTGTGTGTGTGTGTGTGTGTGTGTGTGTGTGTGTGTGTGTGTGTGTGTGTGTGTGTCCATAAGTTTGCAGCGACCTGTGGTGTAATGGTCAGCATCCTCCGCCTCCTCATCTAGTGGACTCGGTTCGATCCCGGGTAGGGTGAAACTATGGTCAAGTTTCTTTCGCCATTTGCCTCTGTCTACCCAGCAATTGGGGACCTGGATTTAATCAATTTAGAATCGTGTTCCGGGGGTAATGGTTGTAGTGCAGTTGGAGTTGTCCAGTCTTCTCGGACTATTCCTTGACACTGGGTCATGCAGCTCGTTAACTCAGGTGTTTGTTGTGTTGGCGACAGCTTCTACCTTAAACAAATTCACGCCTCAGTGGTCCTGGGCGCCATCCTCGTTACGACGGGTGACTGTTATTAAGTTTTATCCAGTGTTCCTTTACTGCCAGTCTCTCTCTCTTCTCTCTCTCTCTCTCTCTCTCTAACTACAATAACCAGAAAATGTATCTGTGACCGTAATGGCCGCCGTAATTAATCTGAAATTAGCCTTAGAATAAGCTGAATTTTGTCGTATTTTGGGTCCAGATTTAGTTGTATTTGGGTTCAGATTATTGTTTTGGATCCATATTTTTTATTTTGTTATGGGTCCAGATTTTCTTTCCAGATTTTGTCGTATTTTGGCGCCAGATTTTCTTTGGAAATGTTTTAGATATTGTCGCAATTGTTAACTTAATGGCAACTATGGCAACTGTGGCAGCTGTGGCGCTGTGGAAGCTGTGTTAACTATGGCAGCTATGGCTGGCTGATGTTAACTATGGCTATGGCAGCTGTGTTCTATAGCAGCTGTGTTAACTATGGCAACTATGGCAACTGTGGCAACTATGGGCACCAGGTGAGGGGATGTAGAGGGGAAGGGGGATATAGAAGAGGTGGATGAGATGGAAGGGAGGAGAGGGAAGGAAGGAGGATGAAGAGGAGACGGTAGAAAGGAAAGGAAGGAAGGAAGGAAGGATAGACAGACAGAGAGAGACAGACAGATAGATGAACCAGATCCTGGCATTCCGTGGGGTCCGTCGAGGAGACTGGTGGACGGTGCTCCTCATAGTGGTAGGAGAATAGCTCTCATCCTCCTCCAACATCCCTTCTTCTTCCTCACCTCCGCCCTCACCTCCTCCCTCCTCACCTCCTCCTCCCTCCCTCCCTTCCTCCCCACCTTCCTTCGGCTGACTGGACTAAGCTCTGGGTAATGATGACACCTTTTGACGTTCACGGGTTCGACTCTCTCTCTCTCTCTTCTCTCTCTCTCTCCCTACAATCGATTAAAGGTGTTGAGCTTCACTACACACAATCCAGGGATTA